CTTCCATTTCCTCTCCCCTTTTCCCTTGGACAGACATCATTAATTGATTGTAGCACTTCTAGCAACAGAATTTGAATAATTCTTCGCAATGTAGACTTTCAGGAAGACACTCTTAGTTGATAGGTGATGAAACATTTGTTGTGAAGACTCTCCAGAAGCAATCATATCTATTTCCATGGCTTTAGATTTATCTGATCAAGCATGGCCTAAAGCTTACTACTTACTGCTGGATATTCATTTAAATGAGGCAATTCATTCTTTTTATTTTTAAGAACCATTTTGACTAAAGTTTCTGTTACTTATTATGTACTTCAACCTCTATATTGTGTTCACATATTTCTTTGTTGTTGTTTTTTTAATCCTTACCCGAGGACATTTTTCCATATTTTGTTCAGATAGCATATTTTGTTCAGATAGCATGGGAAGGAGGGGGAGAGAGAGAGAGACATTGACATGAAAGGGACACATTCAGTGGTTGCCACCTGCACAACCCAACCAGGGCCAGGGACAAACTGCAACCGAGGTACGTGCCCTTAGCGGGAACCGAACCCGGGTCTCTCTGGACCGCAGGTCTATGCTCTAACCACTGAGCAAAACTGGCCAGAGCTCTTTGAATATTTTTTTTTTTCTTTATCCTCACCGGAGGACATTTTTCCATTTTTTTTGGTTCAGATAGAGTGGGAGGGAGAGAGAGGAAGAGAGAGAGAGAGAGAAACATCGATGTGAAAGAAACACATCGAGTGGCTGCCACCCGCACAACCAACCAGGGTCGGGGACAAACTGCAATCGAGATACGTGCCCTTAGCAGGAACCGAACCCAGGTCTCTCTGGACCGCAGGTCGATGCTCCAACCGCTGAGCCAAACCGGCTAGGGCTTGAATATGTTTTATTTGGGGAATTAGTAATAATAAAATCTAAAGACTACCTGCTTAAAATATATTAATTAGTTCTTATGCCTCATTTGCAGTTCATTTGCCAGGTGTTATTTTGCAATATATTCTTGGGTTTGAACTGATAAAAACATTGAGAATTCACTGGAATTCATCTTTGAGAATTAGTTATACAGTCTTATCAATATTATTATTTGGGATTTAAAAAATCTATAATATTGAAAGGAAAATCTGCCGTTGAATTCATTTAGTTAGGTACAGTATATAGTACTCACAAGGAATAAAGCAGTCGCACTTTAGCAAAAACTTGAGAAAAAGTAAGAAAAGGAAAGAGTAAGGAATACAAGAAATTATTGACTCATGGACACAAATAACAGTATGGTGATTGCCATAGTGGGGGGGGCGCGTTATGGCAGAGGAGGGTAAAGTGGGGACAAATGGTGATGGAAGAAGACTTGACTAGGGGTGGTAAACACACACTACAATATACAGATGATGTATTGCAGAACTGTATACCTGAAACCTATGTAATTTTATTAACCAATGACACCCCAATAAATTCAATAAAAAAGAATATTAGCAGATCTGTTGTCTTTTAACTTTTGCTACTAATTTTCTTTTTTTCAAAAACAATTTTTGTTCTTTATTTATTTTAGAGATAGAGGAAGAGCGAGGGAGAGAGAGAAACACTGATGAGAGAGAAGCTTGACTGGCCACCTCCTGCATGCCCCCGACTGGGAATCAGACCCACAACCTAGGCATGTGCTCTGATGGGGAATCAAACTGGCGACCTCTTGGTGCATGGGTTGACACTCAACCACTGAGCCACATTGGCTGGGCACTACAAATTTTCTTAAATTACACATTTTCTTTATTTCAATGTACCAATTTTTTAAAAATTCCTCACCTCAGAATATTTTTCTACTTACTATCAGATAGAGTGGGAGGGAGGGAGGGAGAGAAAGACAGGGAAACATCAACATGATCGACCCAACCAGGGCCAGGGACAAACCGCAACTGAGGTACGTGCCTTTGACCCGAATCAAACCCACGACTCATTGGTCTGCAGGCTGATGCTCTTACTGCTGAGCCAAACTGGCCAGGGCTCAATGTACCAGTTTTAAGTATAATAATTAAAATGAATAGTAATAAATACCCATTTAAAATGACAATTACAAAATGTTCAGTATAAGACTATTTAACATTCTAGTGTAGTTGTTGAAGATGTATACAGGCAGGGAGCCAACAGAAATGAACAATATAAAGAGATAAAAGATAAAGTGAAAAATTATTTGCAGAGTTAATTTTAAGAATCTTGTTTTAACTTCTTATAATTCCATGGTGATTTATGAGATTAGATAATTTTATTTATTTATTTATTTTTTTATCCTCACCCGAGGATATTTTTCCATTTTTTTTTTTTTTGTACAGATAGAGTGGGAGGGAGAGAGAGGAAGGGAGAGAGAGAGAGAAACATCGATGTGAAGGGACACATCGAGTGGCTGCCACCCGCACGACCAACCAGGGCCGGGGACAAACTGCAACCGAAGCACGTGCCCTTAGCAGGAACCGAACCCGGGTCTCTCAGGACCGCAGGCCGACGCTCTAACCGCTGAGCCAAACTGGCCAGGGCGAGATTAGATAATTTTAAATCTAACTAGACTGGGACAGAATATATTCTGGATGATAAAGCAACAATTTCCTCTTTCAATCTGAACTATTAAAAACAACTAACTTGTTTTGTTGAAAAATTAGTTTGTATATAAGGGCTCTTTAAATCTCTGTGGGAAAGGAAATAAAAATGATGTCAGGAAAGAGGACAGGATATAGTTTTATTTATCTCTTGCTGGCTCCCTGCCTATATGGAGTCACAGCAATTGCAAAAAAAGACATAAGAATCTTCAGAGTAGCATTGTTATAGAAAAAAAAAAAGCAGCAATCTGAAAAGTTTAATAGGGTAGTGGTTAAGTAAACTGCAACAATATAAAAGAATAGATCCATTCAGTCATTCACAGGACAAACATTTATTGAGTTTGTCCTATTCTAGGTGCTGGAAATAAGCAGAGAACATGATAAATATGGTTCATACTCTCATGGAGCTTCCATGCTACTGGGAAAAGAATATACAAGTAAACAAATAAACAAGAATATTTCAATGCTATGAGCAAAATACAACAGAATAATTTGATAAAGAAACACAGGCGACTGGAGATTCCATTAGATAAGATGACTGGGGAAATCTTCATTGAGATGTTATTTAAGCTGAGATCTGAAGTAATGAGGGTAAGCCATCCATGGAAAGAGCTAGTGAGAAGTGTTCCAGGCAGGGAAGATGGCAAAGGCTCTGATGCTTGGGTTAGAGAAATAGGCCATTATGACTGGAATGGAGTTTAAGGCAAAGAAGTAGTTAGAGGTCAGATTGTGTAGGCCCTTAATGACATCGTGAAGGTGTTTAGATTTCAACTGAAATGGAAGCATATTACAGGGTTTTAAAAAAGTGAGTGGCATAACCTGATTACATTTTTAAATGTCCAAGGAATCACTGGAAGGATGTGGAAGCAGAAAGATCAGGTTAGGCAAGAACTGATGATGATGCTTTTGGTTTGGGTGGAAGCAATGGAAGTGGAGGGATCCAAATTATTCTTCGAAGGTAACTGGATTACTTTGTGAAGGGTAAGAAAAGTGGGAGAATCACAACTAGATTTTTTATCCTCACTCGAGGACATTTTTCCATTTTTTGTACAGATAGAGTGGGAGGGAGAGAGAGGAAGAGACAGAGACAGAGAAACATCGATGTGAAAGGGACACATCGAGTGGCTGCCACCTGCACGACCAACCAGGGCCGGGGACAAACTGCAACCAAAGTACGTGCCCTTAGCGGGAACCGAACCCAGGTCTCTCCGGACCGCAGGCCGATGCTCTAACCGCTGAGCCAAACCGACCAGGGCGACAACTAGATTTTTTAGATTGAGGGGTTGCCACTTACTGAGGTGAGAAGAACTAGGTTAAGAATACATTTGGTGGAGAAAATCAAGAATTCTGTTTTGCACATGTTAAATTCAAGATGCCCATTAGAAATCCAAGTGGAAAGGTCAGGTAGACATTGGGATATATGAATCTGAAGCTTGGATGGGGAGCAGACTGGAGTGGAGTTATCCAGAGACTGGTTGAAATTATCTAGGGAAGGAATGTAGACAGAAAGGAGAAAATAGTTCAGGAACGAGCTTTTAGGCATTTCAATATCAGGGAGTTGACAGAGAAGGAGCAGCCAGCAAAGGAGACTGAAGGGTCAAAGAAGAAGAAGAAAATGTGATATCATAGAAGGTAAAAGAAAATGTTTCATGACAAAAACGGTGTGGACTGTGAGGAATGCTGCTGAAAGTTCAGGAAGATGACACAGAACACTGGATTTCACAACAGGGAGATTACTGTTTACCTTAATTAAAGAATTTCAATGAAGTGGTGAGGATGGAGGTAAAATTGGCATGAGCTGAAGACAGAGTAAAAGAAGAGGATAGAAGTATAACAAGCATAAAACAAGATGGCAGAAATGGACCAATATACCAGTAATTCCAATAAATGTAAATAAACCAGATTCGCAGATTAAGAGAGATACCAAGACTCTCAGATTTGATTAAAAACACTAAATCTGAGTATATGTTCCTTTGTTTTCACATGAGAATATTGTTTCACTGATTTTTAGATAGAGTGGAAGGGAGGAGGGAAAGGGAGAGAGAGAAACAATCAGAGAGAGAGATGCATCGATTGGTTGCCTCCCAAATGACCCTCGGCCAGGGATTGAACCTGCAACAGCCACAGATTTTACTGAAACATGTTTTACACATAAGTTTTTAAAAGATTATGAAACTTTTTACTAAAAGTACAATGTCAACTTGAACTTTAAAGAATTTCTTCAATGTCTTCTATTACTGAAAACAATACACTGATTTTGAATAAAATGCTTCAGAGGAAAAGCCTACTAGAATTGAAAATTTTAAGCATATTTTATAAATCTCTACTAGATAATACAGAGACAAATGTATAGAAGGCAAACAAAACCAAACACCCTGCAACCTGGATTTGGCTTTTATTTTTAAATACATTTAGCACGGAACTATCATAGAACAAAAAATAATAAAACACAAAGAAATGGAATATTTTCAAATACCTTTAAAGCTAGATATAAAAATTAATAAGATAGCACAGACCCAAATTACAGGAAATAGTCCCTAAAATTCGAATCATTAAACACATTTTGAAAGAAAAATTCTTACACATTTTCCAACGTACCAATATGTTCCCAAGTGCCTTGGTTTCCTATTAAGTAATAGGTAAAAGTCTCAAATTTTGTTGCTTTATTTAAAATTATCAGATTCAGTTTTGGTGAAAATTACTATGTCTCTAACTTCTCAATCAGAATTATAAAAATATGACCTTAAATACAAGTTATGCTGCCCAAAATAGAAACATCTTCAGTGATACTTTTGGATAATCAGACAAGTATTGCACTAAAGTAATTCCATACCTGATGCTCATTTATGGAAAGTTAATTCTCTTCTTTATGAAAAACTTACTACAAATAAACTTAATGTTAACTTAATTAAAATTACACTTCAAAATATAAAGGCACAGACAGAATAAAGAATAGTTTAATACTATACCCAAATTTTCCTCTGAAAATAATTAAAAAATTGAAAAAAATAACAGGATCTAAATACTTTTAGATTTTATAATTTAAGTAGCTAATAAGTGGGTATTAAAAGGTAACTAACTGCTAAACTCAATCCTTTCCAAATAATTTTTAAAAATGGTTTGTTTATATATGAAGCTTGTGCATTGCCCCATCTATAAATTTCAATTATTTTTCCATTAACTGGAAACATTTACCAGCAGTATAAACAATCAAGACAATGTACAAAAAATACATCTTGTCCCTATAACTTACAATGCACAGAAAAATACCTATAAAAATGGAAATATTTATCCATTTAGTTTCCCAATACATTAGTGAGAAATTTTAGCCCATTCCACATTTCTTTCTAAACAAAGGCTAAATAATTGAGGGTATTTTATTTCTAGCCCTGTTAGCTTGACATATTTAAAAAATATCTGCCTGATTACATGTAAGTTAAGTTAGCATCTTATTTTTATATCACAGTATAGATGGCATTTCTTAATAAAGCAACAGAAAGGCACAATTAGCAAGCAATAAAATTCAGTACCTGAATTATTAAACTGATGTCCAGAACAGCTGCAAATAAAGTACATTCAACACAGTATACAGAACCAGAGAAAAAAAGGAATCCAAAAACTAATATTTCTGAAAATTTGGTCCATTAAAAAATGCCTCCCAGCCCTGGCCGGTTTGGCTCAGCGGTTGGAGCATCGGCCTGTGGACCAGAGTGTCCCGGGTTCGGTTTCCGCTAGGGGCACGTACCAAAAAAAAAAAATGCCTCCCATATTCAACATCATGAATAACATGATGGCAGTGTAATATGAGGCATAAATCAATATGTGGTAGTATATGAATTCTGTTTTAATAGTTATGCAATTTAATTAGGAAATGGCTCCCATATTAAGTAAACATTAAATATATCTGTTAATGACAACATGCCTGTATTGTCCAAATACACAGGCACAAATGTTTGCATATTATTACTGATTTTATAATATAACCCCCCAGTTGAAAATACATAGCTATGCTATTTTCTATATAACATATATTAGGTGCATAATTGTTTATTATGTACCTTAATATATATTATATACTTGAATTCATAACAGCACAAAATTCTCCAAATATTACATGAACAGTCTAAATGGATACTTAACATTTTTTTCAGTGTTGAAATAGCTCAGCTTACCTAAACAATATCTGGATGTGCAATGGTAAAATGCACTGACTCTTACGAATTTACTTAATTATTTAAGTTAAATTCCTGCAAAAGCCTAACTCTGATTTGGCTTTCAACTAGAATATATTTTTGGATATCAGTAACTGATACCCTTCTTTCTTATCATAAACAATGTTCTTCCATCAAGAGATACCAATAAAGAAAAATATGTAAGGAACCAAAAATGTGATAGAGAAACCAACCATTCCATAGGTAATGTACCGATAAGGAAGTTCAACTTCCATGTGCTGTCTTGCTTTACGAACATCATCACATGGTATATTGAAGATTTTACAGGCTAAAGGAATGGTGATCTTTTTCATTATTACTCTGACTATTAGTACAAACACCATCCCTATAAGGATGCGCAACATGGCTCTTCCAAACAAAGTCACAGTAAGAGGGGGCCTAACTAAAGGTAATATATCCAGAGGAGGATCTAACATCAGACCCACGTTATAGGTAACATGAGATCCACATGCAATTCCAGCACCACTTCCTAGAATCTCAGCTGTATCTCCTCGGGATGTACTCCAGGTGTCAAGAGTGAAAGAAAAGATCCCCAAGGCTAAATGAAGCCCAATGATGATTAATGGAGCATATTTGTGAGTTTGGTTGAAGCTGTCGATCAGGTCCACAAATGGATAGAAGATAGCTAAGATTAAAATGGTATATAGGAATCCAGCAATAATATCCTGTGAAAAGAGAAAAGTAGAGTCATTCAGTAGAATACTATTTTTGGCATTAAAAAAATACATATGTATTTCATATTTCAAATGTTAAATAGATATAAATTTTTTAAATATGTCACATTCTCAAAGTAAACTTTACTAACTTGGCCATATAATGGGTACTAAAAACTGTTTTAATTATAATAAAAAAGATCTATTACTATAAGAGAATTAGTCCGGCTGGTGTGGCTCAGTGGTTGAGCATCAACCCATGCACTAAGAGATTGCTGGTTTGATTCCCAGGCGGGACACATGCCCCAGGTTGTAGGCCAGATCCCCAGTGTGGGGCATGCAGGAGGCAGCCAGTCGATGTTCTCTCTCGTCGATGTTTCTCTCTCTCTCCCCCTTTTACTTCCTCTCTCTCTAAAATCAATAAAGGAAAAAAAAATAATAATAATACTAAGAGAATTAGCCTTGGCCAGTTTGGCTCAGCTGTTGGACCGTCGGCCTGTAGACAGAAAGAGTTGCAGGTTCAATTCCAGTCAAGGGCATGTACCTCAATTGTGGTTCACTCCCCAGCGCTGGTTGGGGTCATGCAGGAGGCAGCCAATCAATGTGTCTCTCTCACATCGATGTTTCTCTCTCCCCCTGACCCCCATCTGAAGATAAATGGAAAAATATCCTCAGGTGAGGATTAAAAATAAATAAATAAATAAATAAATAAAAGAATTATGTTTTCATAGTTCTACCCTTTTGTACATTTACAATGTAAGTTAAAAGTATATATAAATGCTAAGTATTTATAAATACAATATACTTATTTTTCAAAGATACCATCTTCATTTTCATGCATTTAAACATATAATTCATGTTTAAAGAGGATACAAAGCCTAGGTAGTTTTCTTTTCTCCTCTAGTCATTCACTAAACAAATACTTATTGAGGATACATTGCTTTAAAAATGACAAGATTCCTGCTGTCATAGAGTTTACATTCTGGTGGGAAAGACTGACAATAACCCTGTAAGTAAAAATATAGATAAATGTGCCCTGGCCAGTTTGGCTCAGCGGTTAGAGTGTAGGCCTACAGACCAAAGAGTCATGGGTTCAATTTCAGTCAAAGGCACATACCTGGGTTGCAGTTTGATCTCCGGCCCCAGTTGGGGTCGTGAGGGAGGCAACCAATCAATGTGTCTTTCTCACATTGATGCTTCTCTCTCTCTCTCTCCCCCTCCCACTCTGTCTGAAGATAAATGGAAAAATATTCTCGAGTGAGGATTTTTAAAAAGTAGATAAATATTATAATTTCAGATAGTTATAAGTGTTAACAAAGAAAACTAAAACAGGACAATGGGATAGTATGATGAAAGACCCTAGTAGAGTGATTATGGAAACTTGTCTGAGGAGGTGACAGCTGAACAGAGAAGACCTGATTCCAAGAATGAGTCAGCCCTATCTTTAGATCTAAAGAAAAGTGTTCTAGGTAGAGGTAATACCAAATGTCAAGAACTGTGTTCTAGGAAGAGGTAATAACAAGTGTCAAAAACTTGAGACAGAAAAGAATCTAGTGAGTTCAAGGAAATGAGAGCAATCCAGTATAACTCACATAGTGAGCAAAGGAAAAGAGGGATATGGTATGAGGTCAAAGAGATAAGTAGAGGCCAAACCATGTAGGATCCTTGACTAGGTAAGAAGCTTATCATTTTTTATTTTTTTAAAATCTTCCTCACCCAAGGATATTTTTCTATTTATTTTCAGACAGAGTGGGAGGGAGGGAGCTCCGAGGGAAGGAGGGGAGGGAGGGAGACAGAGACAGAGAGAGAAACATCGATGTGAGAGAGACACATGGATTGGCTGACTTCCACACATCTCCCTCCAGGGCCAGGACCCAACTGCAACCGAGGTACATGCCCTTGACTGGAATCAAACCAGTGACCGTTTGGTCCGCAGCCAATACTCTAACTGTTGAGCCAAACCGGCCATGGCAAGACTAGTTAAGAAGTTTAAATCTTATTTCAAAAGTGACAGGGGGCCCTGGCTGGTTTGGCTCAGCAGTTAGAGCATCAGCCTGTGGTCGAGAGAGACCGGGGTTCGGTTCCCACTAAGGGCACGTACCTCAGTTGCAGTTTGTCCCAGGCCCTGGTTGGGTCGTGCGGGAGGCAGCCACTCGATATGGCCCTTTCACATCGATGTTTCTCTCTCTCTTTCTCTCTCTCCTTCCTACTCTATCTGCACAAAAAATGGAAAAATGTCCTCGGATGAGGATAAAAAAAAAATTACAGGGGGCCATTGAAAGATTCCAAAGTAGGACTGCAACATTCGATCTGCTGTGTATAGAAGGAATCATAGAGGAAAAGAATGGAATGGACAGGAGACCACTGGTGGGAGCTACCACAGTTTACTCTAGACATGGTTCATTATCTATATGAAGAAAAATACACAGATGGCTTTTAGTAAACTATTTTTTAAAATATATTTTTATTGATTTCAGAGAGAGGAAGGGAGAGGGAGAGAGAGATAGAAACATTGTTAAGAGAGAATCAATGCTGCCTCCTACAAAGCTCTTACTGGGGACTGAGCCCGCAACCCGGGTATGTGCCCTGACCAGGAACCGAACCAGCAATGTCCTGGTGCGTGGGATGACACTCAACCAACTGAGTCACAGTGGCCAGGCTAGTAAACTATTTTTAACATTAGGGCTGACAACTTCAACTTGGTGATAGACTGAATGTGGAAGAGAAGCAAAAGAGAAAGGGATCAAAGATGGCTCCTAGTTTTAGGCATGAACAATTTGGGTAGGTGATAGAAAATGGTTTATTGGAGGAAATACGGCTATTAATAAAATAACTTTAGTTTCTGAATCATTCCTGACATGAACAAAACTGTTTCAGAATTTCCACCTTAAAACAAAACAAAACCTCTGGGATCTACTCTCTATCACGGAAAATTTCAAGTGTTGCTTATATTTACTGCCTCCACTTCCTCACTTCCCATTTTTTCCTAAACTCATCACTGCACTGAAACCACTCTTTTCATACTAATTATCTTTATGCTGCCAATAATAATGCTTACTCAACACAATCATTCAACACAGCTAAGCAGATTAGTTGCTTAAGATTTTCTGTCTTATATTTTTTATTATGTAATATTTGGTACATAGAAAAAGATATGTGGAGTGTATATGAACTTATAAAATAAATGTCTATGAAATCACTGCCCCAAAACAGAACTATAATTTGCCAGTACTATGAATATACTAGTATGCTGTATCTCCCAATTCTATCACTACATCTTCCCAGAGACCATTAGAAACCAGAGTTTTGGCTGAATAAACACTTATTTTTAAAAACTGTTTTACCACATATTTTCACACAAAATATTATCTAGTTTTGCTTCTTTCTGAGTTTTATAAAAATATTATCTTATAGTATGCAGTCTCCTTTGTTTTTTACATTAACCACTGTTTTAAGATACAGTCACTGTATGTAGTTGTAAGTCCTTCACTTTCACAACTGCAATATTTTTCTGTGTGATTAAACAATTTATCCATTTTCCCACTGATGGTCATTTAGGTTGTTTTCTGGTTTTGAATTAGTTCACTGGTTATGGTTAAATTTGAATGCTTTCTTAATTGGTATGTATTCTTAAGGCAACCAGGAATATTATAAATAATGCCACTATCTTTCTTTTGATGTTCCCTCATGTGGGTCTGCAAGAGTTTCTCCAGGATATATGCTTAGGAATAGAATGGCAGAATCTCAGGATAAGTGCATGTTCAATTTTACCAGAAAATTTAAACATCTCCAAAGTGTTTGTAGTTTATATCCCATGAGCCATTGCATTTTCCTTATTATTTTTTCTTAAGTTTATGAGCTATTCCTTTTCTATGTAATGTATATTTGTGTCTTTTGAGCAACTGTTGGATTTTCTTCTTCTTGCTGATATACATGATTTCTTCTTATAGTCTTCATGATCATAAAAGAGTGTTATTCAAAAAGTTTGTCTTTTATATTGAATACTTCAATATACCCCAAGATTCCTGCCACTGTCCTCACTGTACAACAGCAGTTCAATAAAAACTTTGTAGTGGATTGACAGTCAACAGTACAATACTTGAAACCAATGTTCTAAAAGATACCCAACTCCAAATCAGAATACTATGAAATATAAGAACAGATACAGAAGAGACAATAACGAAACAGACTAAGAATTGAATATTCAATTTAAAAAAATTTGCAAATAGATTGTATTTTGTTCACCACCATCTACTAAGTACCTTAGCATATTATAGACACTCAAATATTTGTTGAGTGGATGAATGAATGAGTGAATGAATCTTTTATAGCAGTGGTTCTCAACCTTCCTATTGCCGCGACCCTTTAATACAGTTCCTCATGTTGTGGTGACCCCCAACCATGAAATTATTTTCGTTGCTATTTCATAATTGTAATTTTGCTACTGTTATGTCTCAGGTGACCCCTGTGAAAGGGTCGTTCGATCCCCAAAGGTTGAGAACCGCTGCTTTATAGGAATTTGTTTTATCTCTTTTAACAAAATCTACCAAGTTACTTATAAATGAATATCTTTACTGTTTTTCAACAATCATTGTATTATATATATTAGAAAAACATTTCTGTATAAAACAAGTTTTCATTGATATTTTCCTATTCTACAGTATGAAGTAAAACTATTTAAATTTAAATTTTTAATATAAATGGCTCCAGGAAAGATATAATCAATTAACAAAATGTTTCTGAAAATATCAACTAAGGCAATAAATACCACTGGTGTATTCAAAGTTCTTAGAAGGACATGGTAAAATATTTCATATCTGGCTTCTACCTATCATTGACTTCAATGCCAGATCCCATAATGAATTTATAGACTCTATTTCCTGTCATTTTGGAATTACCTTTCCCACCCATATTTTAGGCAAACTATTACATATCCTCTGAGATTCTGCCCAGACATCTATCTCCTCCATAAACTTTCTCCTCCCACTCCATAATAATAACAACTTCCTCTT